CCCCCCTTGCCCTCCCCCAAATTCCGAAACACGATCAATGGACACGGGTCTCGGTCGGTTCTTTATGGAGTCCAGTCTTACTAAGTATTGATTAATATTTTATAGCTTTACTGTCGCAGGTGGATCATTTAACATGAAATTCTGCCTCAGTGTTTTAATTAATTACAGGTCTAACATAACACATTTTTCATAATCCTTCCATGCTTTACATGACAGGTGTACAGCAAAGGCCCCTGTTTAATTATCTTAACTAATGTAACTGTTTTCGGTGTATTTCTGTAACACACATTAGACTTTTCTCATTTTATCATTGTTGTTGGGCATCTGTCATTAGTGTGTTTGCTATGAACACAAGCGTAATGATTTGGTCTAAACGCCCATCTGAAGAAAACCAGGTCATTGTTCGTCTCGTAATTTCTCGGGGTGGGGTGGGGGGTGGGGGGAATCGAAAAAGAAGAGAAGGCTTTAGCGAATCCACTTTAACGAGCCCGATACATTACTTTCTATAGTTAAAATTCGGGCTACCAAAAGGAGAGGAGGGGGAAAAGTTGCTCCTTTAAGCAACAGTTTGATGGGTGGATGGCCATTGAGATGGGCCTTGAGCAAGGAGATTAACTCCTTGGCCTTGAGCCAGAAAAGCTGCTCTAAAAATAAGGCAAAAACATGCTTGAATTAATGCCCAACTGTCTGACGTGATATTGTATCTTAAACTTAAATATGCCCCCCCCCCCTCCCCTTTCTGTTTCTTTCAAGCCACGAAGGTATGACTTCTGATACTGACACCAATGACACAACCATTTTTCTTTTACTTTTCTTAAAGTGCACTTTGTCGTTTGGTTGCATAAAAACACTGCAACAAATTACACTCCCTACGTAATGGATACCAGCAATGCATAGAGAGACATTGCATTGATGGGCATCTGTGCCCGCAAAACGTGATAAAGGTTAATTGGTCTTTCATCAGAAGCAAATAAAGGGCTGATTAATGCCAACTTGATTATTGTTGGGTAGCAGTCGTTCATTACGATAATTGGGGAATGGAAGGTTTCCCATATAAGGGGCGACATAAGGGAGATTTATAATGGGGTGCATGTCTCATTGATGGAGACAGCAAGCAAGCAACAGACAGACAGACAGACGAGACAGACAGACACACACACACACGGACAGACAGGCTGACGGAGAGACAGACACACATTGATAGATAGATAGATAGATAGATAGATAGATAGATAGATAGATGAATAGACAGACAGATAGATAGATAGATAGATAGATAGATAGATAGATAGATAGATAGATAGATAGATAGATAGAT